TAGCCCCTTTTTTCCTTGCTAAGTTAGTATTATATAATTGTCGAGGTCCTTCAGCCCCAATGTGGTCCACACACAAAGTATACAAGGTATGCAATTTCAGCAAATTTATTTCATGACAACCTCATGGCAAAAATCCCACCTCTTCTCTCTTACCTATTCATTATAATATAGCTGTATTACTGCTAATTATAACACTAATTAATCTTAATGTGGCCAACCCAAGCATGGACAAAGAAGACCAGCTAATGCCTAGGATTTATGTGAACATAACTTAAATCCCTTCACAAGGCAGCCAGTATGAGCCTTGCTAGAAAGCCAGTTACAATAGAGTGACAGAATTCTACAGCTAGAAGAGACTTCAGAGGCAAGTATAATATGATGGAAAGACTCTGATTCCAAATCAGAGAATCTGGGTCAGTGGTATGTCAGTAAACTTTTAACAAATAGCTCTCAAATATAAAAAATGTGTGCACAACACACTTTTAAGTTTAATCAGCAATATGAACATTTTATCCATCACTTTCTTAAATCTAGACAACCAAAAAAACAATAAATCAAGCCCTGGATTACAGTGATTGCTGATTTCCAAGTTGTAAATGTTCACACTGAAAATTTAACAATTGGCTCTCAAGAGTCAATTAAAGCAGGTTCCAGCCCTCCTGTGATTTGGGTTCAAATCCTGGCTCTGCTACTTGCTATCTATGTAAGTCATTTAATCCCTCTGGGCCTCAGTTTCTTTATCTGTAAAAAAAAATTGGACAAGGTGACTTTGGTCCTTTCACTCTCACAAGATCTGCAACCCAAAACTGTAACCCTAACAGATTTAACCAGGACTTTAAATAGTAAGGGGGGGAAAGCTTTCGATGGATAAACATTGTGTCTGAGCATGGAAGTTCAGACCAATTAAGTTTTAGATTGCTTTTTCCCCTGTGAAATCTCTGCCAAATCCCATCATAGCCACAGGTCATAAAATAACTTTATAGTCTGTCTCAGAGCTTTGGAATATTCAGATCCCAAGGAATTATGGGAAAATATCCTAGCTAGATGGAATTGAGCCATTGGCCATAAGAGGCAGGTACCTGAATGAATTTCCATGTGCTTACATATCTTTCAGAACACACCTTTATATATACATCCACACACTCACACACATGCCTTGGCCTAGCCCCTAGCACACAGTGTATTCGGCAACTCTATGTTAATGATTTAGGCAGTGAAGACCATATAAAAATATATACCTTGCTAAAGCAAACCTATAAAACCAGGTGCATTTTTTCATAAGGGTAGGAATGTGTGAGACCTTTGTGGTTTGACGAGTGTTGAGCAAATCCTAAATAATGATTCCATTCAAGTTGTTGCAACCACAGCCTCCAGTGTGCTGAAGGCCAATGGACTTTGATGAGGTCAAGAAAACTTGTTGGGGTCATGTGATCATCAAACTTAACAAACCACCAGAAAAAGAGAAGAAAGGGTTCTACATCCAATTAGCTCATTCTGAGGAAGACTTACATTGCAGGAAGCTAAGTAGTCCTCCCCTACCTCCTGTTGAATTTTAAATTTTCAACATTCCAAGTAATTCTCACCTTAATCTAGATTGTTCTGGTAGGTAATAATTGTCATGCACTTAGGAACGAAATAGAATCCACACTGGAGTTGAATCAGCCGTTGGCTCCACGATTTGAATCAGAATGGCAAAGTGGAAATTCTAGATTCAGACAACCTGAGTTCAAACGTGACATTGCACACTTACTACCCGTATAACCTTGGGCAAGTCACTTAATCTTACCAGACTCGTTCCCTCAACTGTAAAATTAAGCTCTAGATCCATGATCTAACGAATCAGTTGTCTACAACTAGTTAACCGCCAAAGACAAGACGTTAGGGATAGGATGTCTCAGGAGTGGTGATGGAATGGATATAAGTAGTAAAGTCATCAGAGCAGTTAAACAAGGGATCATAGCCTAATACAGGGTATGGGGAGTAGGAGAGTAATAAATACTGGGAGGGGTATGTGACTCTCAGCTCTGATATGTAGTAGTTCTGTGACCTCAGAGCCTTAATTTGCTCACATACAAAATGGGGAACGTGAAGTAAGAAAGGTGCTTTGTAAACCTTCCAATGCTATATAAATGTGTTTTTGTCACCAATTTTATACAGAGCAAAAACTGACATTAAGTCTAGTGTGTTAAGCCACACAGAGGAAACAGTGAGACGTAGAATTCAGGTAAGCAGGCCACAGTCAGAGAAGAGAGATCTGAAGTGGGTTGGAGAGCACAGAGAGAAACCTAGCCACATAGTATGATGCCCACTTATTTTTGTACATGTTATGTTCCTCCCAATAGAACGTAAGGTCCTTGAGGCCAAATGGCTATTTCACTGGGGTCTTTGTATTCCCAGTACCTAGCAGTAGCTTGTACCTATTAGGCACTCAATAAATGTCTCTTGAATTGAATATCACATAGTCAGGCAGCAGAGTGAACAATGGATTTATTTTTTTCAGAAAATCTGGCAATGCAGACTAGAGAAGTTGAAGACCCTGGAGATGGGCGGGTAGCCCTACACAGTCCTAGGTTGGGACACGATTCATCCACCAAGAAACTGGACAATGGTGATCAAACCTAGCCCACCAAGAAATTAGGGAATAGGTACAGGGGAAGCAGCAAGCCTGCTTCTAAGACAGAAGCTCCTTGTAAGTTCCCAGTTTAGGGCCAGAGTAGGGCTGAACCACTATGTGGGAACAAACGCGACAAGCAGGAAGAGGTAAAAGAGCAGGTAGTTCAGGCCCTTTCTCAGCTTTTAGCAATCCATTTTTTTAAAAAGAAAATTAAGGCATGACAAAATAAAATGAGGCCACCCATTTCTCTCAATTTATAGCCTAAGACAGAAGCCCCTTTAGCCTTTTAGCCTGTGTAGGTTGCCAGGAAATTCCACTGGCAAAATTAGAACAAATTGCAGATCTCAGTATTTGCTTTCAAAAAGTTTATTATGAACTAAAGTTCTCAGTCCTTAGCGAGCTATAGTAAATCAAAGCAACGGAAATTTAAATAGTTGGCCTGCTAGCAGATATTTTTATACCAGAAATATGTGGTTACATAGAGGTCTATGACGGCCTTCACCTGCATTTATAAAGGAAATGGTCTAAAATTGAGAGTGATTGGCAAGAAAACATACATTATGTTTCAGTGGGTTGAAAACAGTGAAACTTTCTGACTTAATGTTGTTAGTAAACATAGCTACGTAGCTGTCCAAGTAAGTCCTGGGACATCTCTTCATATGCTTATGTGCATTGGATATTTTTCTCATTTTTTGATATCTTATTCCTCCCTCTTCGGTTCAAAAAGACAACACCCTCCCCTCCACGGCTTAGTCCCAATGCTCTTTATGTTGCATTTCTCACACTAGTGAAATCTTGCAGATTGCACCAGATTTCAGGTTTGATTATACACGAGATGCATAAGCCTTGACAATAATATTATTATTATCATTTATATAACACTTAAAGTTTTATAAAGCACATTACACATTACCTCATTTGATCCTCCCAACAACTCTATGAGGTAGGTATTATTATTACCCCATTTCACAGATATGGAAAATGAAGGGAGATTAGGTAATAAATGACTTGTCTAGGACCACACAGCTAGTGAGTATCTGAGGCAAAATTTGAATTCAGGACTTCGGACAAGCTTCAAGACTCATGTTCTTTTTATTGTTCTTCTGAATAATTTTGGATATTCTTGAAGTTGATGCATTTCCAGGGCTCTTATAGTAGTCATTACACTATTTTCCTCTCATTTGGAGTTTTTAAATCATTTTCTTTATTCCATTGTATTAACATATAGTGGAGCCTCTTTTTGGTTGTTGATTAATTTTTTTTATCAATTCTTTCTTATCCTGTTTTTTTAGCTTGTTGCTTTTCCTTTACTTAATTTGGTCCATTTTTTTGCGAGTGGAACTTACTTAAGGGTCAGTTCAACAAATCAAATTTTTTAAAAATATTAACTGTCCTCAAATAAAGCTAATCACAAGAAGCCATTATTAATATTGGCCTAATGCAACCAAATTTGTTCTTTGCATTCTCCTATTCATCCTACCCAGCTAACAGATAGAATACACAGAATTTCTTTCAGAGATGCATGTCTTATTTGTTACATTATGGCAATCTTATATCATACGAGATAAAAGATAATGGAATTAAATTATGCACATGCAAGTAAGCAAATCACTTTAAAAAAAGGAAAATAAAATTTATAGTTAACTGCTTCTGTTTCTTAGTAATAATCCCTCAACATGTCCCAAAAGTGTCAGTCCAAATGTAACCTGCACTAAGACTTTTGGGACACCAATCATCCTGACAAAGAGAAAAAGCAGCTACCGTCTCTATTTGTACAGATAAGGAATTTGATACTCAGAGAGAAAATGCAATTTGTGCTGGACTTTAAGCTACTCAAGTAAAGGATCTGCTTTGATTTTGTCTCTGTATCTCTATAGTACCTTACATAGAGTAGGCAAATATCTATTAGGTGCCTACTCTATATAAGGTACTATAGAGATATAAAAGAATCCACTTATAGGACAACTCTCTACACCTATCCCCAGAAATACTTTGGTCAAACATGCTCACCCTCCTCATGAGTCTTCACAGAGAAATCTTCAAGATACATCATACAAATGTTCAGTGAATCTAATTAGGGCTGCAACTAGGGTTGGAAATCAATGTCCTATAGAGATACACTTTTCCATCTTTTTTCCCCCTTTTAAAATGAAAAGGACATTGGGCCCTACTTTGAAGCCTGGCTCATAGGTCCAAAGCTAATCTGTTAACCTGCACTGAAAGCAGCTTCTCAAAGTGCTGAATTTACCACTAAGAAGCAAACAATAGAATTGGAAAAGTTAACTAAACGGTGGTTCTTGAATAGTTACTAGGAATAATTTTTAATTTAATATATTCTATTAATGACAAAATTAATCAAATGAAACTGACAAGAGGAAAATAAATAGCCAAATTAAAGCTTCAAGTTTTATTTTCATAATTGTCACATACGGAGTCTCTTTCCAGAGAGGTGATAATCTGCATTACTACCACACTTAATACTCTATACATCACAAAGTTAGGAAAAATACAAGTGAAGCACAAGTTTCACACTATAAGAATACCATATTCTATGTATGTACAAATTTAATATATTAAATATATGGCAGGGACAGACTTCACTTACAATGGAAAATTATAATGAATTTTAAGCACATCCATGCAGACTTTTTCTTTTGTATGAAAGTAGAACTCTGGAAAATATTTTTCCTATTGCAACACCACACTGTTTCCACTTTTAACCTGGTTTTTATGATAAAATATTTTAAAGGTGCAAACTGCATCAAAGGGCAAAAAAAATGATCAATTTGAAACAAATGTTTTTCAATACTTACTAGACTAGAATAGCCCTACCAAAGAAGTATTCACGCATAGCTAAACAAAGGTAGTGTGCTTTAGTTCTGAAGATTGGGGAAAAGAAGTAGAGGAGAGAGGAAAATTCTAAGAAGAAAAAAAGGAACAGCTACATAAAAAATTAATCCCAAAATACGTCTTGATTATGTTCTGAGACTTGATTATATTCCTACTATTGGATACCCAACTCATTTCTTTTTGTTGTATCAATGGAAAAAAAAACATTAAAATGTTCAATGCTGTTAAAAAAAAATTTGTATGTGAATGGTACAATACAGACTGATACATGGCCTTGAGTACAGCCATATTTGGTTGGGGGCAGGTAATAATTTGTCCAGAGAAAGGTGTACATATGACTTCACACTGTCAGAAGCTTGTGAATGGAACAAAGTAGTATTAGCAGCACTGAGACAACAAATCCTTAAGATGTGAACATTTTTATCTTGCAGTACTAACTACCAAATGCAGATGACAGTCCAAAGTTAAGTTCTGAGATGCTTGCCGTGATGTTGAAAATAAAAGGATATATGCAGAATGATGTAATGGGTTTGAAAAATAAACACATTGTTAAATATAATAGTGTTTTATAATAAGCTAAAATAAGCATTTCAGTACTGACATACAGACATAGACACAGACACACAAACACTCACACGCACGATTTATTATGGACTCTAGAAAGATATTGAGGTTTCCTAAAGAATCACTTGTGTGTGTCTTAAAGATATGTTCCTTCATCCACTCATAATGTTCCCAGGGAGGTCTAGCAGAACCATGCATAAACTATAATGCATACATGACCAGTCATGAGACTGGTTTTCAGAAGTGGCTTCTGGAATGTCTCATTACAGTTACTTCAGAGATCAGGCATAAATAAGGAAATTATTTATAATTATATATATGTATATATATATATATACACATATATATATATATATACATATATATATATATACATATATATAATTATAAATAATATATATATGTATCTAAGTACATGTATCTCTAGGGAACAAATAGGAAACCAGTAGAGCACAGGTGGTTAGCATCTGCCTGCAGAATGCACGTCACTTGTTTCTAAAGCCCTTTTCCAAAAAGCAGATCACTTGAAAGGACTATGACACAAAAGGGGTGATTCTAAAACTTTTGACCATCAAGAAAGAAAGCAAAAAGTGTATAAGGAACATATGTAAACCCCCAAAGGAAAGCATCATAGCTGCCATTTAAGAAATGACTAGCCACTTAAATATTTGAAGCATGGTGCTTTACCCCCATCATTTTCTCCTACATGCTTCTTCCCCCTCATCTCGAATTCCACTGTGCAGACACTGTGCTCATTGACGGCCAGTTCTTCCTCCAGCACTGACTAGCCCAGAAGCTGCATCTCTGGCAGGGAGGTAGTTTGTTTAAAAGAGGGTGGAGGAAGACTCTTTCTTTCTCAGTTCCCTTCTGAGAGGACAAAGTTTCAAAAGGATTTTTCATGGGTTCCTATTAACCTTAGTCAATGCTTTCTTTGAAATGTGCATCTATTCATCTTGTTTAAATCCAGGGAAAGCTTCATAAATTTGCCAGATAATTTACTTAGTTATCTTCAAATTCTGCAAATTGACTTGTGAGACCTGAAATACATATTTCAATAGGCTAAAAACAATCCTAAGGTTCAAAATTGTCTCCTGCTCCCAAACTTATTTTCTGAAAGGACTGAACCATTTAATGCATCCTATGGCATGAGCATAAGATTTCCTTTAAAATATGTATATGTGCAAACACATATACATATACGCGCACACACACACACACACACACACACACACACACACACACACACATCCACACATATAACACAGCCTCATATTTACACATACCACACAAGAAAAACAAGCAGATCAGGTACTGACTTTCTAACAGGACAAGTCACTTTTAGTGCCAATTACTAGTTAATAAAAAGTATTTACGAGGAAATACAAAAATCATAAAAGGAAAAATGACATTCAAACATTCCACCTGCCATTCTAAATCCACAATCTTCACTCTAGAACCCAGCTCTCAAAGGAGCCTGTTATCATTTTTCTTATCAACTCTCTTAAAAGAAAATTTAAGCTGGTGCTCTGGGCAAACTTTTACCAAGGAAGGAATAAACTAATGACTCACAGGAGGCAAGGCAATTTTTTGGTACAGTAGCGCCAAATATGGAGCTTCTATATTGGTGTTCCAATTCAGGACTACAGAGAAGGATTAAGAATTTGGGTACACTTGACATCCACAAAATAGTACATTAGATTTTCCCCCCACACCCTACCCTGAGAGTATGCATGTTAATAATTAGCACAGTCCTCCTGCATATTCATCCTCTTCTTCATCACCAGCAGCTGTGGCTTCTGCACCTTCACTTTTGGCCTGGGGTGTTGCTGGTGATTTCTTCTTGATTCCTCCTCCTGGGACCACCAAACTTAAGCCCAATTTGGCATACTGTACATGAGAGATAGATGAGAAAAGGTAAACAACCCTGACATAAAGATATGAGATGCAGGCCTAGCAACACCAGTTTGTTCTGAGGATGGAGCTAGAGACTGAGCTCATAATTGTCATGGCTTCAGAGAATACTACAACAGTGAGAAACATAAGGTTTCATTGCCCGTTCTTTTCATGGAGATTAAATAGCTGGAGTTGCACACTGCTATTTGTCAGAATCATCTTTCCACGGGAGAAGCATGAAAGTGTAATATGGTAAAACTTTATTAATTCATTTTTGTCTTTCTTTTTGTGTGCATTTGGCTCCCCAGTGCTTAGCACAGGCACTGGCACACAGTAAGTACTTAATAAATGCATGTCGATTTGACTTGTAAAAACTTCAGCTTCATTACTTACGAACTTGGCTAACTAGGACATATTGGCATAAACTTTGTCTCATAGTACCTAAGAAAAAAGAGTTTTTAGCAAATTAATATAAACAGAACGTGTTTAGCTTACTTAAGAATCAAAGCCAAGAAATGTTTGTATCTGTCCATGCAAGTACAAACTTTTATCTATTTACTAAAGCACTTGTAGATACTCCTGATGGACCTGGAAGTAAAAGGCCTAGGGTTCTTTAAACACAGTTATCTCAGACTTTTGGTCGTGTGAGACTTGACCTTCTGCCAAACGGAACCTCCAAAAAAGAATGACTATATTAAAGGAATTCCATATTTATTCTGAGGTATGTAAGACATGCATAAACACACTCGTCTTCTATGAGGTCTGTCATTATTTTACAGAAAACAGGAAGCAATGCATAGTGGAAGCCCTGAGAAATTAAACACAATTTATTTTTAAAAAATTCAGCCACTGTCTTACAACAAAATTAGGGGAAATAAAAGCTTCCTAGATTATTTGTAGTTACTAAGTATTAGAGCAACGACTGAAAATAAGTGACACTGGCTTTTGTGCCTAGGCCCAAAAAGAAGCAAGGGGAAAGTATATCTAAGGGGAAAATGCAAGCTCTCCTGCTTTCCCCTTTCCCTTTCTATTCCTTTTCAGTTTAATTTTCTTGGGACTTTGGGGAAGTGCTTTTAGGACAGACGTCTGCCTTCTCTGTGCTTTGTGTCATGGAGGGCAGTGGACAAAGGCAGAGACAGGCAGAAAGGTGAAGCTAATCAAATGTAGGCAAGAATAACGTAAACTCTTCTGGTCAAATGGAATTCTTCCAGAACTAATGAGTTTTGAAAACTATATGCAAAGTTGATTTGATACCATGACAACAAATCAGCCCAGGCTCACAAACGCCATGGACTAAAAGAGATTAAGCAGCAAGCCTGAGAGAAATTTAATGCATTCTGCCTGTTACCCGCTAGTAAGAGGAGCATTTGAATTTTTATAGGAGCCTGGAGTGTATTTTTCTGCAGGTGGCAGACATCTGTCATGCTCTTAACTGGGTGCTATGGGAAATGATTAATAGGAGGTAAGCTGTAGGAGATCTGTGAATTAAGTGGGATGGTATTAATAAATGTGGCTGGAATCAATGAACTTTTGGGGAGATAGAGCAAATGTTTTCAGGCCCAAAGATTCTGGAGGAACCATATGCATGGCCGTCGTAATGGAATCAGCCCAAATGGCCTAGACTCGATGGTGAAGTCTGACGGTTGGGAAGGTCTCTCTGGAAAGCAGCCAAATGAAAACTTAGCCCCAGAAGCCTGGGGAGAAAAGACAACGACAAGCTGCTTGTTCTTCCCTGAGAGGTCTCTCTTTCAGCAGGAAAGAAGAAAAAGAAATGGAATGGCCACTTACATCATTGTCCATGTACTTAAAAAGTGGAGAATTGCAGACCTCTGAAACTTGATCTTGGTCTTGCTGGTCGTACCCTTCTAAAAGCTGTTCCAGGGCCGTGCAGTCTTCACTTCCATTGAATCCTGGTATGCTAAAGGACACACGACGCCCACAACTTACAACGTGGCTTGCTCTTGCAGGCCACCTGCTCTCCTCCTAAGAGCTCCTGAGAGCACCAATAGTCTTAAATTCAGTTACTGTCAACCAATTCTAATCAGAGGACGTGACTGCAAGGTGCTGGTGTGTTTTTTCAGTTTTGAGGATAAAGTTTTATAAAATAGTATGGAAGCTGGTCTAGTTTTTTCCCTTCACCCTCTCACTCCTCCCTTCCCCTGAATTACAAATATAGTATATTTATTGTATACTCTTGCTTATCTGCATATGTAATATGTTCCCAGGGATGGTCTCAATTTTCTCTTTCTCCTCTAGCTCCTAGTACAGTGCTCTGGACATAGTAGGCACTTAAAAAATGACTGATGAAAAAACATGAATCTTATTCTAATCCCTCCCATCCCACCACATGTGAACACATGAATTCAATATGTAAAATGCTTTCCACGAGAATTTTGTTTTGGGGAGAAAAAAAACCAACAAAACAAAGACATTTTAGGTCTTATCCTCCTATGAGATCATACAGAGAAGACAACTAAAAATAAATACGACAGGTTCCAAAAGCCCTACCTCAAAAGCTGAAACAATAATGACATGCCTCTATTGGCTATGGGAAATCACTACAAAGCAACCTTGAAAGAAGCTTTTGACTGACCACCTAAGATGCATTAAGAGAAAAAAAAAAGCCAAGATGTCAAGATAATCAATGAAAATGTCTTACCTATAGCTCTCTCTGACACATCTTTCTGCAGCTACATAGTCATTTCTGTGTAGATGAACTAAGACTTGGGCAATTGTTTTCTAAAACAGAAGAGATGACAGATTACCTTTCAAATGTATACGAACGTAATAAAGGCCAGTTTCCTAGTAGGATAAAAACATCTGAGGTTTTACTTGAAATGTTTTAGTTTCTCTTTATCCCTCTCCCCCTTACTCTCACTCTCTGTAACTAAGTCTTAGAGTGTCTTCTCCAGGGAACTAGAGAAATGACATTTCTAAGCTAATTACATTTTTATTATTTCTTTTTAAGCTCTCTAGGTATATATTTCTGACATTTTTTCCCTTAACTTTTCTTTTTTTTTTTTTATTACAACCCCATCACTAAACCCTCCTGCTCTGGGCAAAAGAAACAATAAGAAAGTAGAAAGAGGAAGAGGAAGCTTACTCATGTAAGCATACACATGAAAATTTTTACAGTTACTAAAAAATCAATCATGTTACAGGTCAACCTAAATGAGATTCAAGTTCTGACTGCAACACATACTGGCTTCTGTATGCCCCTGGGCAAGGGTCATCTAATCTCTCAGCTCTCTTAGCAGCTCTCTAAAACTATAAGTGCATCTTTCTTTATTATACTATGTTATGGAAATGCTTGTTTTATTCCATAAATTAAAAATACAATTTTTAAAAAGACTCTAAGTGGTCAAGAAGGTGCTGATCCTCACTGGGAGAGGAAATTTCCCCACCCAGAAGTTTCTTACAGCAATGAAATCAGATCTAGTATCTATCCTATACATGTAAGTTTGGGAGACTTTGAGTAATAATACCTACTGAAATAATACTTTCATTTACTAAAGGGTTTGTTTTGTTTTGGTTACAGATAATAGTCAAATAGGGAAGCAGCCAAGTTTAGTGACTAGGATGCTAAACTCAGGAGGGTGGAAGTCCAAATCCTGCTTCTAACACTTACTAGTTGTATGACCCTAGGCACGTCAATTAACTTCTATGTACCTCAGACAACACCCTAGGATTTACCTACCATGTTATAAACAGACTATAATCTGCCTTGGTGGAAGGATCGTTTGTACCTGGTGTTTCCTGCATCAGCCAAATAACAAATCCTTCATGGAGTCACATTAACAGTCAAATATCTAATAGATACTTTCCTCTCTTTTAGGGAACTATAGTAAGACGGGAAATTAGCCAAAACAGAGATGAAATAAATTGCAAATGATACCTTATAACACGTTGGATAATTTTCAATTTCCTTATAGATATTCTTTTCCTTCTGAATGGAAAGTGCAGCCTCATCAAATCTAAATGAAGAAAACAGTAAGAAAACCACATCTAGCTTTACAGGATCAGTGAAGGGGAGAAGAGACATAACTTGGCAATATATTTTGTTTCAGGTTTAGGGAGCAAGGGGAAGAATGGCTCCATTAGCTCTAAAAATTCATCTTTACAAGTATCCAGATTCTTCCTCAATGCACTAGAAAGGACTAGCAGTAATTAAGAACACTTAAGATTACTTGTCTCTCCCCTATATAATCTATCTACCATACTGCTGCCAAAGTAATCTTTCCAATGTACAGGTCTGACTGTGCCCTTAACCTTCTCAAAAACATTTAGTGGCTCCTCACTGTTCACCAAACAAAAAACTACTTAGACTAGCATTCACAGTCCTCTACAGTCTGTCTCCTCCCTGACATTACAGCATTATTTCATGAAACTCTTCTTCATACAATCTATACTTTATTACTTACTGTTCTCCAATCTTCATTACCGCCATGCCTTTACAAGAACTGTCCCCCATTCCTGGAAAAGCTTACTCCTGCTGTCCTCATCTTTACTTACTGATATCCTTCCCCTCCTTCAATATCCAACTTAGGTTCTACCTCTTTCTCTCTGCAGCCTTCTCTCACTGCCCTAGCTAAAAATGATTCTTTTCTCTTTGAATCTTTCTAGTTATTATTTGACCTCTCCTATGAAGTGAATCATTTTCTAATTCTTTCTCACAGTTTTTGGGAGGCCAACTCATCCCCATAGTAGAACAGAGTTCCTTGACAGCTATATTTTTTATTCCTCTTCGTACTCTACCAAACAGTGCTTTGCAAAGAGAAGATGTAAAATAAATGTGAGTTGCATTGAACTGAGAAGGATTTTTATGGATTAGAGATTTTGCCAATTCATAGGAACCCACTGAATTGAGCAATTTTTCAAAAATGAAATTTATAACAGACAGTCCCCAAATAATGCAAAACCAACTTGACAAAGTCCTTTAAATGTCAAATAATGCCAAGGTACAATAAATGATCAGTCATAGGGATTTCATTTTCTCTACCTTTTCCCCTTCACCACTATAGATACCATTTGCTGCCACCTGCCTCCTCTAGTCCCTTTATTCTAGATACAAACCCAGTGCTATACCATGGCAGAAAGGTGTTTCATAACAGAATGGACAGTAGCAAAGGGAGGGAGGGGAGAAGGAAAGGATTAGGTTAGGTGGTATTAGTGTACTACTGGTACTACATACTTTGATGAATCTATGATCTCATCAATGTACATATTACCTCCAACAGTAGAGATCACAACCAATCCATGCCTTCTCATCTTGTTCAACTCTTAACCAAATCCTCCCACAAATCCACAAATTCCAATAACCTGAGGACCTTACTCTACATTACATTACGTGGATACCAATGATGCATATGGGCTGTCCATTTGTCTCACCATTTACTCTTACTACATGATTAGCCCATCCCCTTTTCTACTTGGATATCTCTTTGATAGCTTTTGTACTGCTTCTGATGCCTAAATCTTTGACGACAGTATACTACAAACTATTCATGACCACCAAATATCCAGATTGCTTTTTGGGTGACCCATAATTTTAATTCTTTGGAGACTGTAGTATTCAGTAATTCACAGCCATACTGCATCACTGCAATGATACTGGCCTAGAGTCATTAGAGGCTCTTTCCATTAAGGGCAACAAAAGCCCCAAGTTGGGAGTTTCAAATCTGAAAAGGTTAAGTCTTCCAGGGCTCAGAGGGTGTGAGCACGTGGCTACAGATGGATTATGAGAAGATGGTCGGGATGTTGAGTGGTTATCATTTAGAAAATGTTTATTAAATATATAATAATAAGGTGCCAAAACGAGATAAGGGCAAGTTTCCTCTGGCTACTGATGACCCCCCACCTCCTCCCTGGGCTACTTTTCAAGAAGGATGAATCTATTCAAAAATTCAAAAAGGAAGATGGTGTAAGTCAGTTTTAGGGAGGCATGATGCTCCCAGATACTGTTCTCTGGCATGCCACTGTTTCCTACTGCAATGTAAGTTACTTGTGAGCAGCAACTATCTCCCTTATGTATTTGCATCTCTAGCACTTTGCACAGTGCAAGTGTGTAATAAATGCTTTTTCATTCATTCATTTCTTCAGGAAATCTGATAAAGGGCAAGCGTTCTTCAAAAGTACCATAAGATCTTCAAGAAAACCTAGAGGCTGCTACCTTAACATCACACTTGATCTCAATATAAGCCTCCAAAATTTTTTGTGAGGAAGAACTACTTTTTATTTTCCTAAATCTTATGATCAAGAGGGAAAAAGGTGGAGGGAAGTGGGGGTGGAGGGGGTGGGGAATAATGGCATTGATGGCCAGCCCAGTAACATCAGAGCAGGAGTTATAGACATGGTAGTAAGCTAACAAACAAACCACACAGACCTTCAATATCAACTGGTTTGTTGTGACTTATCTATCAGGAAGTGTTGATCTAAGAGCCTAAGGGTTAAATAGTAATTCAGAAGGGAAGACCCCCACTTAAGGAATTACTGAAGGAAGTTGGGCCAGAAGTTGCCTTAAATAAAACATTCATCTACACACTGAACTACCATTTTCTGAATATTGATATCCACAGCAGGAAGAAAAGCACAACAGTCATATAAATAAAATAAATTGTTCACTTAAATCTGCTACACTGATGCATAAATTTATTATTTTAAGAGATGATTAAACCTTGAAAGGAGAGTTCTTTAATAGAAAATACATGAGCAAATAAATGAAAGATATGTGCAATTTAAAATTCTATGCTTTACTCTCTTTCCATTATCAACATCACATACTATGTGTTCTGAGTCTGCTACTTAACTTGTACCAAAAGTCACGTTCTGGTATAACTTTGGAATATGTTCCACACAGGCACTCACGTATTACATAAAAGGTCCCAGTTATCCCTCTGTAACTACAGCTTTTCTTGTGCTCCCCAATGCCTTTCATTACCCATTAACACTATAACAGTACAATTCATTTAGCTGCTTTATATAAAAACATGGTATAGTTTGAAACACAGATGTGTGTGCTGAATTCTTAGAAAATTCTATGGAAAGGAACATACCTCTGAGTCACAGAATGGCACATTCTTTATAAAGATAAAGACATGTCTTAATTTGGCCTCAGAAGTTGCTCTGCAAAACCATTTTTGTCAATTAGTTGCTTTGCATCTCATGACCAAAAACCATTCTCAGGTCTTTTTCTGTATCAGTTCAAACATAGCACAGAATTATGCCCTGCTAAAATGATTAGAAAATGGCCAGATTTCATTACGTGTGTGTGTGTGTGTATTTACATATATATATATGTGTGTGCATGTGACACACATATATATAATATATAATGTATAATACATATACTATATATATGTACATATATATGTATATTATATTTTTATTTATTTGCATATCTACAGAGTCTTTTGAAGACTATCTCCCTGGCTTCCTTCGAATCTCAGCTAAAGTTTTACCTTCTGCAAGAAGCCTTTCCAAATCCTTCTCAATCTTAGTATCTTCCCTCTGAGACTACGTTCAGTTTTTCTCCTCCATATCTTGCTTGTACATAGTTGTTTGCATGTTACCTCTCCCACCAGACTGTGAGCTATTTGCATGAAGGAACTGCCTTTTGCCTTTCTTCACATCTCCAGAACTTAGCACAGTGCCTAGTATATAGTAGGCACTTTGTAAATGCTTGATGATGGAATGCCTGACTCATATCAAAACTATTTAAAACTAGATTTTAGCCACTGGGATTTTACAAAAGACAGAATTTGTGTACTGAAACCAACACATCCTTTTCCCCAGTGCTGAAAGATGTTTCACATGAGAGTAAAGAAAAGAAAAAAAACAGAGGGGGAAAAGGGAGAGAAATGCAAAGATTTCAGCTTTCTTGTTTCCAGACATTTATATCTTATTTCGTTATCCCCATTTGACAATATTGTTTTCTTGACTCAATAAGACAATATCCATTTTTCTTGGTCCAATATTTTAAAGAATCTTGTTACTAATATCTCTATAATTCTCAATTCTCAGTAGAGGCAACACAAAAGTTACACAGAAGATAGATCAAGAAATAATTATTTCAGAAGGCAGAAACATTTGACAATTCATTAAAACACTGGCAAATAACTGACATTTTTAGGGCTAACAGAATATGGATAGTGTTCAGTATGGTGGTTTTGTCTATGAACATTAATTTGCAATTTGCACCTAGCAAATATCGTGTTGTTCCTCACATTATTTAATGGCTGCAAACATGGCTCATGGAAAATAAAAACACAAATAGAATATGGTGTTAAAAAACATACCTACGTCCTCGTACTAAAAGTCGTGAGGCTTTTCCTAGTAATTCAACTGCTTGTCTTAGGCGTTCTTCATTCTTAGGAAATGCAAGAAAAGGACATGTTGCCAATTTTGATCATTAAGTCAATTCAGCAAGCATTTATTAAGCATCTACTATGTGCAAGGAACTGTACTATATACTGGGGATAAAAAGAAAAAAAAAGAAAAAGAAAGTCCTATTTACATTTCTCTCATGATATGATTAAGTAAAAAAAATTAAACCAATCTACCAAAGAAAGCACATTTTCTAAGTAGCATTATCCCATCCTCCAAACCCATTTCACTGATCTCTGATAACAGAAGGGAATGGAATTAGAATGTGAATGTGGAAGAGGTTTCAGAAGGTTATTCAATATAATTCCTTGGCCTATGTTAAGGAGATAACTTTCTTTTAGTGAAAAAAAAAGGAGTATTTATTTATCTTCTTCCTATATTTCCCACTGAAGGCAGAAAAGGAAAATAATGTACAGTAAACTCCTATGTATTTAGCCAGACAACTAAAAAAGTTCACATTAGCAGAATTTTATTGTAGAATGTCAGTGGTATGAAGATGGAGACTGTCTTACTGTTCTTGGTGCCCAATTCCTTCCTTCTCAAAACAACAACAACAAACACTTTGTACAACAGGAGATAATAAACACTTGAACTGAAAGCGAAGCTTTAGTTTGAAGCGTATTTTATTACATTCTAATTATTTGAACTGGAATTCTAGTATGGTATAAACATGATAAACATCAATTAAAAAAAATACTAAGTTGACAAAGACAAGAGTTCCTCAAAATTGGGGAATGAGTAGAAGTTGTTAGTGAATGATGGACCCAACACATAGCTTTGCAAACTGCAATGTACAGCCTCTACTATCCAAATCCACACTAAATCATACCCATTTAGTGAGGGGTTTTTTGCCCCACATGTCCCTTTTTCAATAAATTTCAAGGCCATGTCCAATAGTCAAGAAAAGTGAAAACTTACTTCAAACACATTAGCTGTCTGTTGATATAACTGTACAGCCTTTTCAGGGTTCACATTTTCTATAAGTCTAAAATGAACAAGACAATTGTTATTGTTTAAGTTAGGAATGGGAAGCACCTTCTTCCAGGAATTTGATTGCAATCAGAAAAAATTATGCCTTCCCCTCACTCATTTCCAGCAATATTTCAGGGACTTACTTTCCTGCCCGTTCCAAGGCCATGGCTGCTGTGTCAGGTGTCCCATTCTCCAGAAACATCATACTGGCCTTCTCAATCAGTTGAACAGCTTCAGGTAATTTCTGCATCTCCTTTAGTCAAGAGATACACTATGGGTCAGGGAAGAAACTTATAGTTTACTGACTTAATACCTAAAACACAGGAAAGCCAAGTTCAACAAATTTCTTCCATGTGATTTTCACAAGACTACCTAGATTTCTGCGTATGCACACATACACACAATATACAGGATTGGATGAATTCTCATGAGTACATACATGACCTATGTTGCATCTAATCAAATCAAAATATATTAATTTCTATACATATACATGGCTAATATGGAAGTATGCTTTATTGGACTTCACATGTATAATCTTTATCAAATTGCTGGCCTTCTCAAAGACAGGAAGGAGAGAGAGTGAGGGAGAGAATTCTAAAAAATGAATGCTAAAAAAATTTTCACATGTAATTGAGAAAAAAGATGAGAGAAAAAATAATATCTGTGCACACCTGTCACATGTATCCTTTCTTCATTTCCATCACCATCAACTCAGGTGTATACTCCTCATGGACCCTGGTACTGGCCTATATCGCAGCTAGAGTTTCCTACCTCTTGTGTCTCTATGCTTATTCCCTCAGAAGCATGGCCGTTCAATTATTATCCCTCATACACAGATATGATCCCGACATTTCTACACTCAATACCCCTTCTATTGGCATTAGATAAAGATTAAGCATGATTTATAAACGTTTTACCTTCATTTTCTGAGCATCAGAAGCCCTACCATAATCCTGGCATTTCCTTTCAAACTGACATACTGCCAACTTCTCGGCTGTGCCACTCAGAACTTTCCTATGAGCTGGTAGAAAGGTTTCAATTACGAAGCATAAAGTAAAAATGTTATTATTTCAATCTGGCCACTTTTTAAACCACATGGTCCCTTTGAGGCAAATAAGATACAGTTCTTAAGATTTAGAAAATAGTAAAACCAGAAGTGGATACAAGAGCTCTGGGGCACATTGCATACCTCTGTCTAGAAGTTAGCCACAGGTCTCACAATTCACTGACATAAAGGTTTACATGAAAAATGGGTGGAAAGTTTAGCCAATAGATTTTATTCAGAACCATGAAGCTCAGGACTCATAATATTGCCTGGAATTGTACATGTTTACTGAATTCAAATACATGACAAAATGCTTTTCCTAAATCTGTCTGCCAATCCACTTGAATTTACTTTTTTAATCTTTCTAAACTCTGCCTTCAAACATTCAAATTAAACAGTTGTAAATATGTCATAATGGTAAGCTTTGGTGAAGACTCAACCCTATTAGCTGTTTCAATATAGACTTAGCTGGGAAACAAGACTATGGAGAGGAAGGCGACCCAGCATCAAGATCTTGTACTGTAATGTCAGGAGTCACAGCTCAATTTGGACCTGGTTAGGTATGTGACAGCAGGAAAGAAATCTTTTAAGTTCTCTTGTATTTAGTTCTAAGGGGAATCAAGGAAAGGGGGAAACTCAGGTTTCAACACTAAACACTAGCTCTTTGAGGAGCTATTATTATTGATAAATTAGTCTGAATCACCAAAGTTAAATTCTAGATTAAGTTTCAGCCAGGAAATGATTTTTATTATAATTTAAGCCCCCCAAAATAAAGTTTTGCAATAAATGTTTTGAATGTTTTGGCTACAATTAAAGTGGATAAGTAATCTCATCATAAAATATTTGTATCAACATATACAAAAAATAAAAAGCTAAATTTCCTCCTTCAATTACTATTCAGCTTAAACACTTAAAACTAAAATGAATCAGAATTTTTATCTTTCAAAATGCCTATATGGATTTGTGATACCCTGACTGCCAGTTATCACAAGACATAAATCAATGACTTCTTTCCCCCATACTGAGAGATATTAACCCCTTCCATGATTTTCAAAACTTGTGAGCAAAAGTAGTATTAACTGCCTTAACGAAAATAACACAATCCAAAAACGCTAGAGTTAAAGTCTTTTTTCTGAGCCAAAAAGGTTTGCCTCTCCATTAAAATGTAAAAGGCAAACAAAAATAAAACCTCTCTATTCCCTCAACATAAAATTAAATCAAACAAGCTGTTCAGATAATCAAGCATATTCACATTAGTCCTCTAAAGCTGAGAAAACACCAAAATTATAATGGGTCTGTTAATATCACCCATATGTTGATGACCATTTTCAGATTAAACAGCATAGCTTATAAAATTTAACATTTAAAATGCAATTTCTGGAAACTTTCTAGAAAACTCAGCAAGAAGGAAAGGGTAGCAGCTGCCACTGCCCAGGCTCCACACACAAGAACTGCCTCCACATCTTCTCTTTCTTCCACTTGCTCCTCTAACATCACAACCAATTCCTGGGTGATCCCCTTTCACCCTACTCAGGTCATAGTCATTCCAACACCTGCTATTTTTTGTGGTAGCAAAGAATTGGAAATCAAGGGGATGCCCATCAATTGGGGAATGGTTGAACAAGTTGTGGTACATGATTGTGATGAAATACAATTGTGCTATAAAAAATGACAAGTAGGATGTTTTCAGAAAAACCTTGGAAGACTTGTATGAATTCATGCAAAGTGAAGTGAGTAGAACCAGGAGCAATGCACACAGTAACATCAATATGATTAACTGTGAAAGACTTAGGTATTCTGACCAAGACAATGATCCAAGATAATTCCAGAGGAGCCGTGATGAAAAATGCTATCCACTTCCAGAGAGAGAACTGATAAACTCTGAATGCGGATTGAAGCATACTTTATTTTTCTTGTTTTAATTTTTGTCTGTGTTCTTTCACAACATGGCTAATATGAAAATATGTTTTGTGTAACTTCACATGTATGATCAATATCAAATTCTTCCTGGGAGGGGGGGAAGAGGGAGGGAAAGAATTTGAAACTTAAATTTTTCAAAAAATGGATGGTAAAAATCTTTTAAAATATAATTGGAAAATATTTAACAAAATATTTTTTTAAAAAGTCATTAATGCCCTACTTCCATCTACAATCTGACAAGCACTATTTAAGAAATAGTCTTTCTAACATGCTTAACATTTTTTAGCTTGTGACCTTTCAACCTAAACATAACTTTGATATTTAATATTTTGGAATAGTATAACAAGTCATACTACCTATGTAGCAGCTGTGCCATACTGACCTTCAACATCATGCCAGCTTGTTCATAAGCCCTGCAAAAAGAGAGAAAATATAAATTTCCTTCATAATGGATTTTAATTAAATGAAGAGAAAGGGGGAAAAGGTTCTGGGTTTTACTACTCAGTAAAAGTAACTGTCTCATTTAATAATACTAAAACAGCTGGGTGCAACCATACTTCCTCGTTTTATTATGCTTACACTGCCATTTTTTTATATTGTATTTTTGGTACAATATAAAGTAGATGATGAAAGGTACTTCATACAGCTAAAAAAGTTTTTTAGAAGACTTAAATATAGGATCAAGCTTCCTAATCTTCCACAGATGAATAACTTTTAAAATTACTGTAAGTGAAGGGAAAAAGAAGAGATCATTTGTAGTTCTTCCTTTTTTAATCTGCAGAATAAAAAGGCCTAAACTTTTTTCTACGGTTGACAGGAAAAGACAATCCTGATAATGTATTGCAACTTAAGTACACGTTCAAATTTTAAATTAATGCTCTTGTAAGTAGAAACAAGAAGAAAAAAACATTTTAAATCAATAGAACTTTGCTTCCATAAACTGGGAAACATTCAAATATTTTAGGTAGGTGGGAATAAAGAACTTACTTGGCTGCATGAAAAAGACTGGGGATGTGAAGGAGTCAGAGTTAAAGATAAAAACAAAAGAAAGGAACACATGTCTAGACATTTACCAGTTAATAGGAACAAAGTTAAGTGAAATATGACATAAATCAATTCATCTCTCCTAAAATTATGGTACATACATGTAAAAACACATACATGACTATAACAGACATTTCCTAAAAAACTATACATGCTAAAGAAACACAGCATGGTTTCTTTTTAAATTTCCAATATGTGTTGATTTAACAAGCCCAACCAAAATTAAAAATCATTATAGCTATCTTTTAATGGAGACAGAATGAGAAGTTTTTCATTCAGTAAGTTTTAAATACTTCAGGGCAATTTTTCACTTCAACCTGTTTATCAGCCGCAACACCAAAAATGCAAAATCAAAGTAGATCAGAATATCTCTTTAAAAGTCATTTAACAGTTTTATTGGCTCAATTTATTTGCTATTTTATTTCTCTGTACCATTCCAGTAGAATGTAACCTCCCTGAGGGCAGAGATTTATCTCAATTTTGTATCTGTATTTCTGATGCACTGATATTAGCACTTTGCACATAGTATAGGTGCTTAAAAATTATTAACTACTTGATACATATATCCTTCACCCCATACCCTGTGGGAGGAAGGAGATGAGAATTTAACGCTGGTACCAAACGCAGAAACACAAAAATAAATATCTGAAAGACATTCTTTTCCCAGATTAATTCTGTGAATATAAACACACACCTACTTCATTAAGAACAAACAATTTGAAAAAGCATAAAAATATTAAGGCTTTCATTTGTTTATAAATTAATAATTGCGCTTTCCTTCACAGGAGACAAATTCATAACTAAGGAAAATAATTAGTGTCAACTAAGATATATTTTTAACCAATGATAGATTCAATTCCTTAAAAAGACATTTTAAATGATGTCGAAAAGATACGCCCTATTATTCTCATGTGCAGCAGCTTCTCTCAGACAGGCATCTTTAGCTCGATCAAACTGTTTGGCATTTTTAAAAGCAACAGCTGAAATAAAGCAAAAAGAAAAAATATCTTGTTTCTATTTTTATCACTTGAGAAAAAAACAAAATGAATCATTACATTAGGGAAAATATTATTGAAAGGGCTTATTTTCAAAAACCTTATACAGAGCTTAGAAAAAGAGAATAAAAAGAATACTTCAATGGATCTGTCATCTTCTAAGATAAAAGATTCAGAGCAGAAAGGGACCTCAAAGGCCATCTGGTCCACCTCCTCCATTTTACAGATGAGGAAACTGAGGCTCAGAAAAGTAAAGTCTGTCTACTAACTGCCTTGGCTTCTTTTGAGGTCCAATAAAAATCCCATCTTTTACAGGAAGCTTTTCCAAACCCCACTCAATTCTAATGTCTTCCTTCTGCTAATTGTTTCCCCTTTGTCTTTGCTTTGTATGTATCTATTTGCACGTTGTCTCTCCCAAAAGACTGTAAGTTCCTTGACAGCACAGAGTGCCTTCTGCCTCTTTCTGTATCACTTAGTACAGCGCCCTGCATCCAGCAGGTGCTTCATAAATGTTTGTTGATTGATTAAAGTGACTTGCCTAAAGCCAAATGGACAAGTCCTCTTCCCTTCTGTCACTCACTAATATAATTCCTCCAACAATGAAGTTCACAACCTGTCTATGCCTAACCATCTATGATTCTCTCATCCATGTCCTCCTCTAAATTCACCACAGGGTGGTCCATTCAGTGAGCTAGGGACCTTGCCATTTTACTCTTATTTTTTTTTTAACATTTGATAGATACAAATAGAGCATATGTGGACTGTCTCTTGGTTGTTCCTTGCTTTTGATATATCATTTTTTTCTAGCCACACAATTCTGATGACTTATTCTTTTAAAAATTTTTTATTTGAAGATTCTCTAATTATCTATTTTTTATAGTCACTTGTGGCATCAACCCTTTCAGAGCCGCCTTTCTTCTTTTCAGTATTAAATATAGTCCAGAAATAAAGAAATCTTCCTTTAAAAGTTTGCTAAATTTCAGGAAGCTGTAACAGTAACAGTCAAAATGAAAATGAAACTCTGATTTCTTTAGATCAAAAAGTAGCAAATTAGTAGTTTTTAATTCACTAATAAAAAATACACTAAGAGTTCATATCATCATTTGTACTCTTTCCAAATAAAACACTGAACACGCTATCTTAAAAGAAGCCTTCCTTTTGTTTACTTTCTCCCCACACATAATTACTTTAACAATCCATACTTCAAAAGTTTTTGCAGAGCTAGAGTCTCTGTCAAAAATATAAATTACAACCAAACATCCTAACATTTGCTAAATGCTTTGGAAAAATTACTCTTTTTGTACCTTGGAAGAGCTAATTGGATAGTTGCAGTCTTAGTATAGTAGGATTAATACAGAATGGTTAATGTAGCATTCAAACAAGTGTTAGCAGCCATACAATTTGCCGAATAACCCTAACCCATTGCTCCTAAAGGGCACCAGAATTGAAGACTGATATGAAAATAATGCTATTGAAGTAGAAATGTTACTACAAGAATACTTCCTAAAGGAGGAAAATATTGGACTAAAACAAGGTTCAAAGAGAATTCTACCTATCTACTCTATCTACCTTTGATTTTTAAAGGTATTACATTATTAGGATGTACAGAAGAAACTTCACGCTGTAATACTATTAAGCCTTTACATGGCTAAAAAAAAATACTACAACTGCTACTATTTGTATAACTTTGATGGCAGCCTCAAGTTTGAATATAATATCAAGGCACAAAGATAAAGTTGTGAAACAACTAAAAGTTAGGGTTTAAAATGTCATAGTAGACCCAAGCCCTCCTCTTCTCCTACTCCCTTTCCCCATCTCCCCTGGCACACTATTCTGGTTCAGTTATTTGCTATGCCAACCCAAATTCTTACCCCCTCCTCCTCACTCCGGGACAACACTTTGTTTTCACTGAACTTCCCCACCCCAACTTCCATCTCCTCCAGCTTCTAACCAAGGTGAACAGGATGAACAAGTTCTTTGTGGCTGCATACATGCTATTAAGCAATGCTGATTTTCCATGTATTTTACTCTATGGTCCTACTAGTTGAGAGTATCAAGGGTTGGAAGAACCTGCCCTTGAATAGTAGAAAAGTACATCAGAGCAGCCTCTGATCACATGTTTCCCACCCACTTCACCAAATGTAGATTCATTTCAGTTAAAAAGCCCCTCTTATGCTCTAACTATACTAATACCCTACTGAGATTAACTACAGATGACTGGAACTATTTTGGTACTTTGGGGAGGGAGGACAACATGGAAGTACAATGTAAAGGAGAAGACAGACTTGTCTTACCTTTCCGAGACCTATGATTTTATTGGTGGTGATGGATAAAAGTTTGAGGAAAAAAGAAAGGAAGGAAAGAACATCAAACAGTCCTACTCAGCCTAAGACTCTCCTTCCCTTGCCTTCTTATGCTCTTCCATTCAATTATAGGTATATAAATATTTCTTTATTGTATATGGTCCCTCATCTTTCTCCCATTCTCCTGCTACTGCTTTTCCAATTCTAACATTAGTACCAATTCGAAGCCCAGGAAGTACCATGCTTTCAACAAGTGACTAAATGGGGAACTATCTACCTTCAGTATATTCTCAGCTCCCCACTACTGCTGGGTATCATCATTGCTTACAATTAGCAGGCCTCAGAAGAGTGAAAAGAGATAGCTTATGTCTGCCATATACTTGTGTTAATCTGGGGTGAAGGTGCTTAGTAACTAACAATAATAGTATTACAAGCTAATTCAAAAGCAGATCTTTTAACCTTAAAAAGCCAACTTATGTACAGCAATATAGTGTAATAAAGATAAACTAAATTATGGGTCAAAAACTGTAATAAAGCATACAAATCTATTGCCCCCCCAAATTGAACCCGAATTTTAACCACAAATTAACTATAACTCACACATCAAACCAATTAGTTTTGTATTTGAAAAGGGGGGAACCATTAACCCTTTCCAAAAAACAAACAAAAAAACCCTACTGAACTAATTAAGAGAAGTAGAATGTCCACAGCTGGAATACTTATGTCCAATTCTAGGTGCCATATTCTAGGAAAAATCTTGCTAATCTAGAAGCCTGTCCTGAGGAGGGTGACCCAGATAGTGAGAAGACTTGAAACCAAAAGCTGGTATATGGAAGAGAAATTAAACTTATTCTGCTTGGCCTCAAGAGGCAGAATTAGGACCACTGGGTTACTAGGACCACAGGCTACAAAGAAGCCAATTTGGAGTAAATATAAGGAATTCCTAACAACTATAGCTATCTAGAAATAGAATGGACTGCCTTAGGACATGCCTCCCATCAATGCAGGCCTTCAAGTGAAGACTGGATGACCACATGCTGGGCATGCTGTGAGGGGACACGGGTGGGACAAATTTACCTCTGAGGTCTCTTCTGGAACTATTATTTTATGATTCTAAAGTGTCCATGTGGCTTAATATCAAACTGAAAAAGTCTAACTTGCATAAACATACCATTACATCTGTTTCCAGAAAACACATAGATCATCTTATATGAGAATTAAACAAACAACCAAGATATTTTCCACTTTGCCATGAAAAGGTCTATAAATTAATATTATAGCAAAAGTTATACAATATGTAACACGTTAAATCACCATGATTACCACAAAGCTGGGAGGAGCAAGAGAATAATAACACATTAAAAGTACTAAAATCTATTTCTGAGTGCCACCACTCTCACTATTCAGATGAAAGGAAGCAGTAGATCATAGCCCAACAATGAAGGAGGCCATCAGTAATTAAGTTGAAGAAAAACCAAAGGCATATGACAGTCTTGCTGTTAAAACTAGAAAGAGATCTATTTGCATTAATGTCATGCTAGATGGAAGCAAATGATTATTTTAAGATATAGCACTGGATCTAAAAGTCTAGATCATTCCTACCTGCTTTCCCATATTCAGTTGCCGCACTGTCATAATCTGGCTTCCATTTTAAAAAACCAGTTTTCAGGCTAAAGTGAAAAAGAAGACAACTTTAATACAGCTGATCATCTACATTTCTAAGTCAGATGAATCATGATGCATTAGCAAGTATTATTGACAAAGATAACCTTAAGAAACTGAATTATAGCAGAGATAAAACAAAAGGGCTTTCTAACCCAACATTTAATGACAATTAATTTAAATTACTCATTCCTTCCTTTATTAAAGGGTTCACAATTACAAAACAACAGCATTGTACTGTAACCCAAATGGACAAGGTTTGAATTACCAAGTAACCTACTAGTTGATCATTTAAGTTTCTTTAAAAAGAAATACAAAAATTGTCTTCAGTATGTTTCCATTTTCTAAACATTGTCCTTTGCACATTAAATGCAGTGAATTTCCATTCAATTGATAGCATTCTGTGATCATACCACAACGTCAATCTCAAAGACAAAAGGGGGACCCAGCTTGTCCAATAAAACAGAAGCCTAGAGCTGGAGAATCCATAACAGCTCACATATACATGTTCAACTTGCTACCAGGCACACACCAAATCATTTTTTGACACTATGTGCCAGGACCAAAAGTTATCAATTTATTTTCTTTTAGCCAAGTATTTCATTTAACATTTGTATATATGCCCTTACCTGGTAAGTGGCTAGCACCATGGCATTAAGCACTTTTTTCAAGTCTGCCCCACAAAAAATTAGAAATTGAGGTGATGCCCATCAACTGGGGAATGGCTGAACAAGCTGTGGCAAATAGTTGTGATGGAATACTATTGTGCTATAAGAAATGATGAGGTGGGCAGTTTCAGAAAAACCTAGGAAGACTTATATGAACCAATGCAAACTGAAATGAGCAGAATAAGGAGAACATTGTACATAATAAGAGAAATACCATAATGAAGATCAACCGTGAAGATTTAGCTACTAGGATCAAGACAATGATTCAAGATAAAAAGAAAAGAATAAGAGTGTGCCCCAGATCCTACTGTTCAATAAAAAATAAATTAGGGTATATGTAGATACTAGGTGCTAGATACTACTGTGCTAGGTGGCACAGTGGATAGTGTGCCAGGCCTGGAGTCAGGAAGACCTGAGTTCAAATTTGACCTTAGATACTTAGTAGATGTATTACCCTGGGCAAGTCACTTAACCCTTATTTGCCTCAGCTTCCTCATCTGTAAAATGAGCTGGAGAAGGAAATGTCAAATCATTCCAGTATCTTTACCAAGAAAACCCCAAAAGGGGTCATGAAGAGTAGGACACGACTGAAAAATGAATAAACAAATAAAAAGATACTGAACCTCAAATATTAAGAAATGTGTCAAAATACTAAAATACCTTATCTCCTCTCATAACATTTCTGTATAAACACAACTGTAAATGTTCCTGCATAAAATAAGGCACAATCAGTGAATTATTCCTGACAGTCTCAGGAAGAAGTCTGAGATGTCAAAAGCAAGCATCCCTGAAGATAACTGGGCAAGGTTAAGAGCCAAGAAAAGTTCCTCCTTCCTTTTGAGGACCATGAATCTATACTCAGAAACATGAAATTGAATTCAATTCAACAAGCATTTATTATGGAGATATAATCAACTTTTTGCTTTAATACAACATAAAATAATATTCATTAAAATGATTTAACAACCTACCAAACATGCTCACTCATGATGAATTTTAAATTATATAACCTTTCAAATAATATTTAGTATTACAGGTTCAAATTCCATATTGCTCTTCTATATATCACTTGTCAACTAATGTCATAGTGGGAATTCCTTTTGTGTAATGAGCTGGACTACATGACTGGTGAGATCCTTTCTTATTCTCAAATTCTGAGATTCTGTGATACAGCAAAAATTAGTTAATAGCTCATACTGACTATAGACAAAGCAATATTTCCTTACATCTAGTTATGGAAATGTTGAACTCTGTCAACTTATCATAAAAATAATCTCCAATGTTAAAACCCCTGGTTCCAAGATATAATATCCATGTTGCCTTAATTCAGCCATAATATTACTCATGTTTTCATGTGTTCTCTTAGCTATGTTAAATATGATTTTTCTTTAATAATGACAACAGTTTGGTCCAACTCTGTAGAACAAAGAATAATTGTATGATCACTGTATTTTTTGTTTGTTTTATGCAAATAGGCAAAAAATGCTTTTAAAAAGTTACATTATGCTCTGAAGAAAGAAAAGTTTATAAAGGAACTCTATAGATTTGGAAGACATACATATAAAAGATACTTTGCCTATATAATGTAGCTTAATTTACAAAGATAATGAGATACATATTACAACCATGAAATCAAGATTACAATAAAAGAGCCAAGATACAATCATATTGAAATTCAAATGTATATGTTGCTTTAAGGTTTGCAAAGCACTGTGCTCCAAACAATTTGAGAGGGTGAGGTAGATCTTTTCATGTATTAAAACTACCATTTTAAAGACGAGGAAACTGAGTTTCAGAAAAGTTAAGTGACTTGCCCAAAGCAACACGGTTAATAAAAGTCAAAGACAGAATTCAAATCCAGGTTCTTCTATGCTGATTTCAAATCCAGTACCATTACAGTGTTGTATATACTGGGAAAATACTAGATTGAGAAACTGCATAGAAAGACTTAGATTTGAATAGCAGACACACAGACAAAAAGTAGAAGTCATATATCAATCAACTTGGACAGTTCTCAGCTTCTACAAATATACTGTATTTTCACAACTCCAAGCAGTTGCTTAAGCTAACTCCTACGCTTGGAATGCCCTGCTTTAACCAGTTAGCCTGTCCATCCTTTAAAGACCAACTTAAAAGGGGATGTAATACCTGAAGTCTTCTTTGATCCTCTGATTCTCATCAGTACTTTGTTTTCTAACATTACCACTCTGGTCACATAGCACTGTTTTGTAATTCTTTAATGTATTTATTCAATTAACCAAACATTAACTGCCTGATATATGTGAAGCATTGTGCAAGGCTCTTGTAATTTTGTGTCATATGCAATCTGTGTTCATGTAACATCCCCCTCCTTGACCACAAATTCCAGGCAAGCAGGCTAATGTCTTATAATGATGATGATGATGATGATAAAAATAATAATAACAGCTGAAACTGATGTAACACTTTAACGTCTGCAAAGTACTTTACATACATTATCTCATTTAAGTCTCCTAACAACTCAGTAAGATAAATATCATAGGTACCATTATCCCCATTTTACCAATGAAGAAACTGAGTCTCAAAGAAATTTAAGTTTCTCACCAAGGGTCATAAAGCACAATAAATGCTGAAAATGAGATCCAAATCTGGGTCTTTCTGACTCAATGCCAGCAATTTCTCTTCTAGCTATGCCTCTCTAAACTTTGTATTCCCATCATCACCTAGCATAATGCTCAGGTGCTTACATGTGTTAATTGCTTAATCTCTACCAAATTCATCTATATTTCTTCTTAAAATTCTTAGATCAGTGACATCAAACTCAAATAGAAATAGGAGCCACTAATTATATATAAGGATCCCTGCAAGCTGTAGTTAGAAAACCATATATCAACACTTTATTATGATCTATTATATATTTTTATTTATTTTGTCAAATATTCCCCAAGAAGCAGGGGCCACTAAATAAAGATCCCTGTGAGCTGCAGGGTTAGAAAACCTCACATTAACATTATCTGTTACATTTTAATCTGATTTGGGCCTTACTTGTAGCATGCTGCAAGTGAGGCCCAAATCAGATTAAAATTCTTTAAGCTTGACGCCACTGGTACAGGCCATTTCTTGTGCAAGCAGAGAACTTAAAAAAAAAACCAAATTGGGCGCTCACTGACTTAGGAACTGATGGAGCATACATAGGTAATTTATTATTACTGTGAACTCAGAAATTATGAATATGAAGAATTCAACAAAACAGTAGATTTATAAGTGACGATGCAAAATGAAATCTCTATCATTAATAAAGTACAACATTTTTCTCATGACTTGGCTTATCAGAATACTTAACATTCTCAAGGAGAATAAATATATGGAAGAGTACTGCAGAAAAACATTAAACGGAAAGGCCAAAGATTTTTTTAAAGGAAGTGATAAAATAGCTTGGTAGGAAATATCTGACTATAAAATTAAAATCAACAAAAGATAAAGGATTACATAATTTTAGAGGTTACCTAGCCCAAACTCCCTTATTTTACAGATAAGTTCTCAAGACTTTAGTTTGCCTAAATGACTTTCCCATAGTCACAAAGCTAACTACTAAGAGATTTGGGAATAGAATTCAAACCTCTTTAATTTCAACCTGGTTGTTGTTTTTTTCCACTCTGCCACCTGCTCATTCCCTGCAGTGGAAAGGAATAGTTACATGCATTTTTAGCAGTCCTTAGAGGCACAGACATAATCCACAGATAAGTAAATATAAGGTACTATGAAGAGGAAGAGAATGCTAACAACTGCCCTACAGCTTTATAATTAAATGTCTTCTTTGGCATCTCATTTTTAGCTTATCATTTAGGACTGGCATTGATCAAATAAGATAAAGTGCATAAAAGTGCTTTTGAAACCTTAGAATGCTATATAAATGTCAATTATTATTATCAGGATTATAATTCTGATCTTTGCTCTGACCCCTTCTCTGCTACTTTGCCATTGTCACTGCAAAAACAATAGAGGGCCTCACTGGACTGCGAACCATTTTATATTTTTCTTTATTTCCTTGGGCAAAAAATTCATCATCTAGTGGCCAACCTACTAGTAATGAGCATCTCCACACCTAGGAAACTACTTTTTTGCTAGGAAAGAAAACAGTTTGTTACCAGAACTTTCCAAAAAAATGTTCCAGCATAGCAAAATTCGGAAGAGCTTACATGACGTTTTAAAGACCCATGGTCAGCTCTAGGCTACTGTTAAGTCAAAGCACACTATGAATTCAATTATCTAGTTATGAAATGTTTTAAGAGATTCACAAGCAAGAACTCGTAGGAGCTATTTCTTTTTATTCCTGTGAACATTTGGTTCATATCCTAAAT